AAAAAAAAAAAAGCCTCGCATTTAATTAAAGTTAGTTTTTCTTCAGTGTAAAAACTTGGAGGTATGAACAAACTCAGGATATTATACACAGTAAATTAATGTACATTTCCAAACTTGCACAGTGCAGTTTTAAACAAAGTAAATGATCTCATTTCAGCTTTTATTGTTAAGCACAATCCACATCTCAATCTTGAATAAAAATTTCACAATATATAAACCCACTAAGAATTCTGTACACAAATACAAGTTATAGAAATCTGATTTCAAATATAAATACATAAATTGTCATGACCTTACATGTTACAACAGCTTATTTACTTATTTTCCTATGGTAATTTTTTTAAAAAATCATAGAAAAATATTTCAATGCACATTCAACTGCTATGACAAGGGCCATGACCGTGTGCCTTTAAACCATACTTTGTGAAGTGTAAAGCATCACACCGGGCATTTTTGGAATGAAAATTACTAAGACTGAAGAGGCTACTATAAATATTCATGTTATAATATGGTAACAAAAATAGTTAGCTCCATAGTGTATCTCAGAGGCAATGGGACAGAGAAGTGGAAGTTAGTGCAAGTTTAAAAAGATCCACAGAACGTATGTGAAGGTAGCTAAAGAACTAGTGTATTGTAAAAATCCCTATAGCAAGCCTAACACAGACCTCGCTAGTAAGACTCTTAAGGCAACCAAGACTGAACTTGTGTTTGGCCCCCAGATGCACGAATCTTGCCCTCCCCTCAACATGTCTTCTTGACAGATCAAGCTGGCTCATGCATGAACATGGAGTGCAGAGCACAGAAAAACTACTGTATGTACAGAAGATGATTCAGTGCAAACCAGAACCTCCTCTTTGTCCTTAGTTTCAAAAGTTCTTATTGCTCTTGAGCAACTGACAGTTTTTCTACACATGTAATATTCAAACTGGGATCTATACTGGGAGAATAAATGTATGGAAGAAGCATACAAGCCATCTGAAACATTCTAACATGAATTTTTACCTTTCTTTTGTGGGATTTGACAGGGTCCCATTA